TTTTATGTTAGCTTGAAGGACCTAAAGAAGTGTACTTTAAGTAGTAAAACATATTGAATTGATTAATTTTCCTTCCTTCTTCTCTACTATAAAATTACCGCCTTAGTTTATATATATATTCGTTTGATACTCAACAATATGAATAAGTATAGATGATTTTGTAATAAAATATTTCTCACATTTCTTTGCTTGCATCCGATTTATCTCTAAAGATCAGTTATCATTATTGGTATGTTAATAGATATAATATACTCATGACCATACAACATGTATGTCTTTGTGTTGTCACGTCATCACGTTTTTCTTTTTGTAGTTTTTTTCTCTTGCTTTTTTATTTTATCTTGAATAACATTTGCTTCTCGATCACCATATGTGTCTGTGCGATCATATTGAAAACAGAAGCTTGAAAGAAACTCATTTTCTAATAGCAAATAAAGAAAAAACAACAATTTTTTCATAGTTAAAGTAAAAAAAAGAAGAAAAAAGGAGCCAGAAGAGTTTCAAAATAAATATGTGACAGATTTTTTATCGATACATCATTAACAAGTAAAATTAATCATTACCGTATGTATCGTATTTCTCTCTCTTTTTATTTTTCTTTTGCAGAAAGTATAGAACGAACAGCTTTATTTTAGACTGCAAAATAGTATAGATTTGATAGCATAACTATCAAGATATATAATAATATCGATGGATTCATCGACAAGAACAGCTATTTTAAATAAGTAGGTATTTCATCTGGATATATGTTTTTTTTTTGTTTTCTTTTTGTTAATCTTATTCTTATCAATGATCATCAATAATTTAGACAACGTGCTTTTTCCCTAAAGACAGAGTCGAACAACAAATAGATTGTGCGATGATGGTGATAAACTAGTTTATATTAGGTATTTTATGTGCCAGAACTTTCCTTTTATATATAGATATATTGACTACAATATGAATGACATCCGGCGAGAAAAATATTAGCAACTCCCGTTACTTTGATGAATAGTACGGGTGTTTTATACATGATCGGTATAACTTGTGTGAATGAGAGTTCTGTAAATAAACATGAATAGAGGAACAACAAATAGTTACAGCTCTTAGACATCCTTCATTTATTTGATGAATAGATTTCCAGTGTCAAGTACCACCAATATCGATCGTCATTATGTATACAATTTCCTGTTTTCTGACACATCTATTCTTTTCTTTTGTTTCTCTTTTTTTTATTGTTGTTATTGTATATATCTTCGCATGCATTTATTACTTCCAATGGCACAAGGACAAAAAATCTAATCATTACTTGATGACAAGTCACGATTAGAAATATAATAAAATAAAATTGTCGAGATAAATTGATGTCTAAATGCGTACGTCATCTAAAGCGGAATATCGTCGTTATGCATCCAAACGAAAAAAGTTCTGATTCAATTTTTTTTTGCTGTACTTTTGAAAAACATTATTTCCTCTTGTTTTATAATTTAGACGACATACATTAAGTATTCCAAAATCTCTATCAACTCTTGATACTTATGATATATCTCGACGTCCTTCATTAAATAATGGTCGAAGATTAAGTTTTCAACAACAAGAAATAACTGAGTCATCAAAGTCAAAAACAAGTCTAAGAAATTTTTATATATTTTTTGTATTACTTTTTCTTTTTATTTTCCTTGCTGTTTTTTATTCATTTATTCGTATGATAAAAAATCAATCGTCATAACAAAATAAAATATGCTGATAAAAATAAAGTCAAACATAAAGAAGCTTTAGTTTTTTATTCATATGCATAATACCAATCCGATTGTATAACTTTATTATCTTTTGATATAACAAAATATACATAATCATGATTACCACGCCATTCATATATCCAAATTTTTGCATCACTTGGATATGTATAATTATCATTAGTACGTCGAAATTCATGTTCAAGAACTAAATCAGGTTTATCAAGAATTTTAGTTGGTGTACCCATTAAACGTTGAATTTCATCAGCAGATGTATTAGGTTGTCCTAAATGTTTTTGTAATTCAATCATAGCTTGATGACGTTCACCATTAAAATTATCAATAGTAGGATTATGTGGTTGACTATGCCAATGACCACGTTCATTTTTCAATCGTAAATATGTTGATGATGATATTTCCAAATTTGTTGATGACATTTTACACGTTAAAATTGAATAATTGATTTCAGTGAATAATATAATAAAAATAGATAAATACCTTTAATGTAAAAAAAGGTACAGGTATATATATATATCGAGTGAGCCTTGTTATCTTGAGAGAAAGAAAAAAAAAGTCCATGATTTATTTGTTAGTATATGAATATAAAGGTCGAAAAACAAAATCATAAAACATGTTTGAAGAAGTTATTCATAAGGTGTCATAACGTTTTAGATGATTATTTATGAATTAAAATAAATATTTACCTTTTCATTAAAAAATTTGATTTATCATGAATATTCTTTTTAATATGCTTAAATTACGAATGAAAAATTATTTCGCTTATCTGTATGATAATTTTCAAAAAACTGATTCGTTCACGTCTATGACCTATTATATATTTTGCTAGATGTCGATGTATTGTTTACGTTAGAAGTGCTAGTGCTATCTGTCGATAGAATAATTGATTTGTAATAGAACAATCCAGTGTATGACAGGTATTTATTTGGTTTCTGTTACGAAAAACAAAGTGATAGATGTCAATTACCAATCAAATTCGAATAGTATTAAAGGTACGTTTAGACTTATCCAGATTATAAATAGTGTTGTACTTTTGAGTTTCGGATGATACTATTTATTAAATCGGTCATATTATTATGAATAATATTTTTCTAGATCAGCTAGTACAGAATCACTTAGATTATTTTAGGTCTTCTAATTATATACTAACATCAAAACTAGACATTTATGAAATTAACAAGGCTTTCTATTCATATTCTTTTCACCTCGAGTATACGATTCATTTGCTATTCTCTACATATATAAATAGTAGCGAAGAAGTATGTGTACGTCGAGTGTTATAAAAGCAATTTAATCGAAGCTTTTGGCAATATGAAGATTGTTTGGTAGATTGATAATAAAAATATTCTTTCATTATGATTTCGACTATATGTTCAATTGCAAATTACTAATCATGAGATAGTTTCAATGGAATATTTTATTTCAATTTCACACCCATCATTTATGAAGTAAAAACGGTGTCAAATATTAATTTTTAACTTTCAATCATTCTCCTATGATAAATAAAATTGGAACTGTTTTCTATGAACTGACATAAAACCAGCATCGTATGGATTAGTTTCGATGAAATCGAATTTCAAAAATAATAGATAAACATGCTGATAGATAGACTCGATTGTAATGATCTTAAGAACTACATGAATTTAATGGTTCGATTTTAAATATGCTTCAATCAGAAAATAATATTTTTAGCCCAAACTTATTTGATAAGAGTATTTTTTTTTCACAGTAACATATAAGTTTATTAACATTTTATCCTTCCTTTCCGATGTTTCTATTATTCTTTCCCGTTATTGTATGTTTAAAGTGTTCTTTAAAATAGATGTCTATAGAAACATTAAAAGAACTTTTCTCTTTTTCTTTTTGTTGTTATCGTGTGACTGCATAACAATCTATTACTCTCTACTTGCATGGACACCTGGTTAAAAGAAAGAAAAAGAAATTTTTTATTGCAGCACTTGTATTTTATGGATTGTGTTAAAATTTAATTGAATGATATGAATATTTTAATTGGTTGTTTATTTCTTTTATTACGTGAGTAATTATTCTTGTATATAGATTAATAAATATGAAAATAAAAATTGTTTTATTATTCATAGAAATAAAGACTATAGAGTCTATAAATATGAAAAATAACAGACAATTACGGAATCAAACACGCAATGAAAAAGAAAAAACATTGTTTAATATTGAAATATCAAATAATATTTATAATTCAGAATTATCGAATGAATCTTCGAGATTTTGTGTACCTTTGTATAGTTGTTCATCAAATGTTAATGGATCTGTATTTGTTATTTTAGCGGCAATCATTATTTTGATTACTTGTCTTCATTATCATTGTTATGAATATTGTCATGTCAAAAGACAACTTAATCAATTAACATTACAAAAACCAACAATATGCTTGCCAAACAACTTCACTGGATATGATTTGCATAGTCTTGTATGATTTTTTATGGGAGCACAACAACAACAAAAAAGTGACTTCTCCTTTTTAACAATCATGATTAACTGTGATGATTATTTTTTGTAAGAAAATTTTCTGTTTTTGTTTGTTGGTTGTTATCGAACTTCTCTTTTCTACTTAATGTCAATTATCGACAGAATTTCTATCTGCGTATATAAATGTATTTATTTCTTTTTCTCGTATTTTTTTATATGCTTGTGAATATCGCTGTTAGGTATGTCATTGATTGATCTTTATAAAAGAAAAAGCACGATAAATGCAACTTCGACTGCTACAATAATTATATATTTGTGATCAGGGACTTTGATTACATGATAAATATTGGTAAGACAGAAAAAATGTATATATTGAACTCGACAGACTCTCGTTTACATGGCTCAGCAACTGTTGTTTACCTATAATTATCACATATTTCTCATTCTTAATTTTGTATGTAGACACTTCATGAATACTTTCATGTCTCGTTTTCTTTTGACAAAAAAACTACAGTACATATCATCAATATAACTTTTATCCGTTCTCTTTCTATTCATCACATATATCTTTCTCTGAGATTACAATATATTCATCTTCGGATCATGAAATAACAGAAACAAAAAAAACAAGCTCGAATGAAAAGTTTCATATGTATTTATCGCATAGATATACTATGATTCATTGGTATATTGTCTTTCATATATTTATTCATTTCATAGAATAAATTATAAACACATTTATTTTGTTTTTTTCGTCATTCTTTAGATACATATTCATATCAACTATTTATACATCGAAAAAATCTACTGAATAAATTTCGTATGGGTGGTGCAAATAGTTGTTTTCCATCTCCAATTAATACAATATATACATTACGTCGTCGTCGTCGTCGTAATTTATTAACAAAAATAAAACATGACCAAACAAGATCAAATATTCCAATAAATACAAATACAAATACAAATACAAATAATAATAATAATAATAATATCAATGCAATTAATCTAAATCATGCATCTGAAGATGAATTTTTAATGCTACCTGGTATTACTCGTCAAATAGCTCAAAATATAATTCAATATCGTCAATTAAATAATGGTTTTAAACGAATTGATGAACTTTTATATATTACTGGAATAAATCATGATTTATATGAATGTATTCGTTTTGATATAACTATTGATTCATCTTCTCAAAATTTAGTTAATAATAAACAAGAATATATTAATATTAATTCAGCAACATATAATCAATTATGTACAATACCTGGCTTAACACCAATAGTTATCAACCGAATAATTGAACGTCGTGAACGAAAAGGATTATTTCGTTTTGTCGAAGATTTACTTAAAATAAAAGGTATTAATTATATTGTATTAGCTAGTATTCGTTCATATATTACTGTTGATGATCGACAAATACCAATATCAGTTAGTCAATCATCAATACTTGAACCATCTGTTAATAATCTTTATCCAACATTAAATAAAAATAATAATAATGTTACATCAGATTCACTTTCTCTAGCATCATTATTATTAGAAACTTTACCACCAGAATTACAAACTATACTTCTTTCGTCAACATCATCACAACATCCGCAAGTGACGATATGTAAAAATAAACAAACATATTTTCGTTTTGCTTCATGGAATTTACAACAATTAACAAATGATAAAGTACAAAATCCAGGTGTAAAAGAAGTCGTTTGTCGAACTATTCTTGAACATAAGTAAGACAAATAATCATTTTTTTTTTTGATAACATTAGATTTTTTTCTCTCGTCATGCAGTTTTTCACTCATTGGTATTCAAGAAATAGGAAATAAAGAAGCGCTTGGTTATATAATTCAAGAATTAAATAATCCAACAATACCTTTAATTAAAGATTGGTCGAATCGTCATCATGGAAAATGGAACTATACAATTAGTGATGTTGCTGGTCGAATGTTTCAAGTAAGAATTGTGTGATAAAGAAAAAAACTAAGATAAAAAAAATTGAAAAAGATTGATATATAGTAACAATATCAAATTCTATAGCAATATTAGTGTGAAACATGACTCTCACTAAATATTGGATTCTATAATGACGTTGTAACTGATCTATGGTAAAATAATCGAATGTTGATAAGATGAAAAAGACTAAGATTAGCATATTTTTCGTTTTCACTCATGGGAATAAAACACAGACATATTTCGAAATATCACTTGAGGGACGGTGGATATGTAGGGATACACCAATTCATAGAACATGATGCCAAAGATGACTAAATTCGTGAAATACAAAACAAAAGTTTCGAAATTGGTCGAATGTTCACAGTTTTTAGTTTTTTTCATCAGTTGCAATTAACTTTAAGATTTGTGTTTTACATCAGACAAAACTTAAGAATAGACTAGGAAAAAGTGTTCAAAACTAAACATAATTGGCATGAAGAATCGCTCGAAACTCGTAATTCCCACCATTGGGCATATGCTTTTTGCAAGTAAGGATAAACCAACTTCTACAAATTCTCTAAATTTCTAATCGGAGTGTAGAATATTTTCAGTATTGAGAATTACTGGACTTCGAGCGATTCTTCATATCAATTATGTTCAGCTTTGAACCCTCTTTCTGAATCTATTCATATATTTTGTCTGATGCAAAACATTGGTCTCAAAATCAGTTGAAGTTGGTGAAAGCAAAACTGAAAAATACGAACTTTCGACCAATGCCAAAGTCTTTATTTTGTATATGTTTTTGTAAAAGTATTCGATATTAAAGAAAAATGACTTTTTTCGAATCCTAAACAGATAAAAGAGAAAATTTTTCTTTGACGATTCAATAGAGTGAAAACAAATTCTTACTAGCGTTTTTTCTCGACTAAAACTAACCAGAAGAACAAAGATTTTTATGTCATTCAATAACTCACAAGTCAGAGTATATATATTGCTGCATTGAACACATAAAAAAGTATTATTTCAATTTGTTATCTAATACCTGCCCTAATGCCCACAGTGTGAGGCATGTGCCACATCGAGAGCTTTTTAGCTAAATGGAATCACATACTATTTGTCTAGGCTCTCTAAAATAGCAGAATTCTTTGCTAAAATTTGAAATTGTCCATCTGAAAGAAAAAATCTCGGTAAAATACTGTTTACAGTGAACATATTTCATACTTCTCGTATAAAATCTGTTTTATTTGTATTTATAAAAGGGAAGTGAATATCTTGGTTTTATCTATGATGAGTCAATTGGAATTGAATTAAAAAAAGCATCATTATTACCATTTAAAAATTATTTTACGCGTTCACCTTACATTGTTATATTTCGTATTTATGATAAATATGAATTTGTTTTTGTTAATTTGCATTTAAAAGCACGAAGATTAGATGAAAATGACAATGAAAGAACAAAAGATGAAGCTGCATCAATATCAATATTAGCTGAAGCTATGAGTGATACTGTTGGTAAGAGATGAATATTATTTATATATAAAAAAAAAAATAATAATCAATTTTTTTCTTGTCTCATAAAGAACAAAAATATATAATTATCTTTGGTGATTTTAATATTGTACCAACAGCATCAGAATTTGATGCATTAGTTCAACGTAATTATTCATATGTTATTAAACAAAATACAAATATTAGTATGAAAACACCACAAGGATCTACATGTATTGATAATATTTGGCTTTCTGCTGAAGCAAAAGCTTTAACTACAGGTAAAATTTTATATTCTTATTAAAATGAATCAAATTTTCGTTTTCATTTTTTTTTTAGAAAATTCAGGTGTTATTCGAGATAATCTAACAAGTATGTGGATTCCTGCTGGTTGGACATGGGGTGGTATAGTTAGTGATCATTGTCCGATTTGGATTGAATTTGATTTATCATAAAATAATTTTGACGAAGAAAAAACTTTTTTGTTTATGTGCAATAGAATTCTTACGCTTGTTTATTTTTCCTTTTTGTTATTCAATTTGTAAAACAATATTTTGTTTTAATATATAACGATTTTTTTAATAAAAAAAAAACAAGAGTAATATATATCTATATACTATATAACTTTAGATTTATATGAATTATGTCTAATCAAATACCTGTAAGTGATATTTTATGTTTGACAGGTTTGATTATAAGATGTAAAAAAAAACAAAGGTTCTTTATACAGAGCAAAAAACAAAGAAAGTTAAAATATGGCTAGATGGATATTTAGTTCCACGTGCAATATTAAATTCGGTATAAATAAATTATTTTTTTTTAAATTATTATTGTGATAAATGAAAACTTTTTTAGGCACGTTTAATATCTGCTGGTAAACATGAAATTGATGTTGTTTTCTATTCAAGTATTGACGATGTAAGTGGAAAATATATTATATTGATGAAATTAAAGTTTTCTTTTTAAATATTAGATTAAACCTGGAAGAGAATTTGAAACTGATCGATATTTAATTAGTATTGAAGAAAATAATAATGATAATCAACCTTGTCCTCGACCAAGTTTTGCTGTTAATGATCCAACGATGAAAAATAAACCAAAATCAGCAGTATGTACACGTATCATTTTCAATCGAAGAATTCTAATTATATTAACAAACAAAAGTTTTCATCCTGAAGAATCTTAGTCATTATAAATACTGGAGCATTGAAAAATATTTTGCACATATTTCGTCAAGAATGCAGGTCAAAGATACAGCGCTGCTTTGCTTGCTTAAGTACAAAAATAAATATGATGAATGACATCACTTTTTGTACTAAGATTTTTAAACAGAAAATTTTACCAAACACATGATTAATTCTTAATGTTTTTGAATGAAATTGGAGTCCTCGTCTTGATCGTTTTCTTTTCAAAAGATAAGTTCATTAGCTCGAATACTGGAGTCTCTGGATGTTTTTAAATCCTCTGCCTTATCAATACGTTGATCATTGCTATGCTATTTCCGACTAGTAGTACATAGTTTGTTTATGAAACTTGCAAACACTAACGTACAACTGTAGAGGTAGCTTTTTCTAAGAGTTGGAGTTTCATCCACTGAATTACTACTACATGTTTGATGAACTTTAATGAAATTAGTCGAATGGATAGCCAGAATACAATAGTACACAATGAGCCGTTAGCTGACCTAGGAAGTTCATCTTTTGCCGAGTTGTGAAGTTCAAAAACATAATAGATACGATCCATTGTCATCCATCATAATTCTCTTTGTATTTAAGCAATCAAAGCAGAATTGTGTCTCTGATCTATACTCTTGACGATGTATGTTCACATCAATTTTCAGTCATTCAACATCTATATTATCTGGCTAGGGAAGTCCTCCAATTGTTCAATTGTTTTTGAATCGCGAGTAATTGTATTATGTAGATCCAACTACGTTATGAATACGTAGAAAAAAAAGTTCATGCCCATCGATTATTGGTGTGAAGATACTGTACTTTTACAATATTTCGTAAATCAACGCGGTAGTTCTCCTCGAGAGCACTAGAAAAACTGATTTTTGAATTTTTGACTTGAAACTTGAAATAGAGACAGACCTTAGACGATGGTACTCTATTGGGAAAGTTTCAGGTCTTTTGACTTTCTTCTATTCTGAAATAAGAACATCAAATCTGCTGGTTTAAATGAGGGATGTAAAGACATACTATTATCATAGCTGTATTTTAGGTTAGGAACAGTGACAAGGTCTGAAACATTCACAAAGAATTATTCTCTTGAGAATCTGTCTATACGTAATGTTTCGAGTCGAACTTTGAAAATGAATTTTCCTTGTGTTCCTGAGGAAGGCCAGCGCATTCATTTAATACATACCGCAAAAGTGCAGTGTTTCCACAGCAATCAGCCTAGAGCACGAATTCTATTCAGACTATTTATCGTTCGCACATAGTCTCGACTCAAAAAACTATTGAGCAATTGGAGAACTCATCTCGTGAGATTGTTTAAAGCAGACACTTTTGTCAACTACTGTCTTTATTCAATTAATTTAGGCATTTGTACCACCACGTTTAGTACCCAAAGCAGAACCACCACCACCCGCACTAATGCCTATATTAGAACGACATAATCCAAATCAGTGGGGTTATGCTGGCATGACAACAGCTATGAAACGTAATGTTGATGATAATAATTCTAGTCATGTATCAACAACATCAAAATTTTCTCATTTCATTCCACCAACATTTAATAAACGTCAAACGATTCAATCTGAAAAATCACAAGAACAATCAGTTTTATCAGCATCTTCTATTTCTATTCAACAACAACCAGGGTTATTAAACGATGCTTTGATTTCTCGATTATTGAACAATACACGACCTAATGAAATGTAAGTATTTTATTGACATGTCATTCATAATGTTATTTATTCGCTATTTAGTAAATCTTCTCCTGTTAAACAATCTCCTCAAATTTCTTGGTCAGCATGGGATGATAAAAAATCTGATGATGAAGATTCTGATCCACCACCGATATGCGAAGATAAAAATATTCTTCAACAACCACCTCCCATAAAGCAAACATATAATTGGCATAGTTTAGTGAAATCAACAGGTCAACATGGACAAATAAATAATGAAACAGAAAACACAGAACCAATGCCAAAATTTGATTTTGATGATAGTTCTTTTGATACCTTATTTGATAATTCAGACGAATAGTTATTTGAATCATGTCAGATTTTCATCTTCTTTTTTTTTGCTAATATTGATCAAAAATTTTATTTTCATGATAGAATAAAGAAAAGGAAAACAAGGAAAGCGTCAAAGAAAATGCCACGAATTAAAAGAGTGCGAAGATGGTAGCTAAAACGTTCTAGATTATGTTGACGACGAATAAAGCTTACAATGTTCTAACGACGAAATTGTACAAGATATCGAAGTGCAACTTGTGCTTCATCGTAAACTATATATTCATTATAATTAAGACCATAATAACCTCCACCAAAATTTTTATTATCAATTAATTGACCAAGTGGTATTTGTACACCTAAAATAATGAAGAGATTTTGTTAAGAAAATCTTTTCATTTCAAAAATAAACAAACAAACCATCATTTCTAGTTATTGTATGTTTTGGATCAGGTATATTTCGACCGACACCTTTTCGACTTTGAAATCGTTTAAAATCGAGTGGTTTATCATCATCATCATCTTCTTCTTCTTCCTCCTCCTCATCATCATTGCGCTGAATACCAACTTCTTTCATCTTACCTAAAGCAACTTCACATAAAAGCATAAAACATCGTTCACCATCATTTTGTTTAACACCAGAACAATAACCAAGACTCTTTGCAAATGTATCCGCTGTATATATACCCTAGAAAAATATACAAGATAAAATTTATTTATTGTTTATGAAAATTTTTATTACTGTTCCAAATAAACTTCCAGTTGCTCTTGCTGTCAAAGATCCAACGAGAAGTCCTAAATTAAAAAGAAAAAAGTTATCTTCAAATTTCTTTTGTTGCTAAACAATTGCTTAGATATCACTAGAGATTTTTCAAGTGTTACTCAAATAAAAAAACATCAATATAAATATTAATATAAAATACCTCGAGTAAGTATACTAATCAAATTACAAATACCAGTTCCATGCCATAATAAATAACGATTACTTAAATTACATTTTGTCAATCGTTCATCTTCATTTGGTCGTGCAATTTTAAATATTTGTTCTATTTGTATAGAGGGTGCAGTAGTCCATATGTAACGTAAGATGAGTTGAGAATCAATATCATCTTTGTTTAAACCTTGAAATTGACAATTCATTGATTTATATAAATAATCTAATGGTGAAATAGATTTAAAATTTGCTTGTGCACCTAATAACATTTTATATGATAATTCAAGTTCAAATAAATCATCAAGTATTTTTTCTTGTGCTTTTAATATATCTGCATTATCAATTACAGATAGTTTTTCATCAGAATAACCGTTTAATGGTATTAATGTATAATATTCATTTGTATATTGATAAATAGATTCTAAAATTGATTTTATTTCATTTTTTTGATCAGATGTTTTTTTATGTTGATTTTCTTTTTGAAAAGTATTCTTTTTTTCAATTGTTTCTTTAATTTTTATTAATAAATCACGTGCTTTTTCTAATGTTTCACGTTTTAATTGTGATACAGGCATCCATTCAATATCTAATTGAGTTTTATGTATATTATTACGAAAAGCTTGACGATTAATTAGTGTTCGCATAAGATTTTTATAAACAGATGATTGAAGTTGTGATGATGGACATTCTTGTTCGGCTTGTAATCGATCAAAATCAATCGATACACTTGAATATTTTTTCATTTCACGTTCATTTAATCGTACTAGTGAATATTTTTTTGGTTTTGCTTGAAATTGATCTATATCTTTCCATGCATTTCCAGTTTTTTCACGAAAAACTTTTAAAAATTCTTTTCGACATTCATCAAATGTTAAAAATGGTGTTAATTGATGTTGACCTTCATCATTACCCATTCGACCCCAACGTGTAAATAAAAAGTATAAATTATTTTTACTTTTATGTTTAATTATTTGCATACGATAAAAATTATATAATCCATGTGTACCATAACTAACATCAGTTTTTGTGAGACGTACATCATACGGTTCATTTATATCTGTATCAATTAAAACTTCACCTGTTAAACTCATACCAGATAATCCATCGACTTTATATTCAATATTAGATTTACTTGCTGGATGATTAGAAATATATTCATCAATTAAATTTTGAGCATCATCATAAAAATTTGTTTTATCTAAAAGTTTTTTATTTGGATCGTTTATATAAAATTTTTCTTTTGTTATTTTCATTAAACCTGTTTTCTTACGAGTTAATTTTGTTAATTCATCATATAAATGTCGACAATTATTTCTAGTACTATATTCTAATGGTGTTAAATCAGAAAGATCAGTCATTGTTAATGAAGCACCACAAGAATGTAGTAAACAAAGTATATCAATATTATTTGTATATGAACCGTCAGGAAATGGTTGAATTAAATGATGAATGCATGTACGACCATGAATATCAATTGCATTTAAATTAATTAATGATGTTTTTTGAAATTTTTTTGCTTTCTTATTATTTGATGCTTCATCTGTATCGGTAACTAAATCAGTTGTAGTAACACCAAGAAAAAATTTTCGTTGTCGAACTTTGGGCTGTCGTTTTCTTGGATAAAGCACTGGTTGATTTGTTGGTGTTTGTTTTTGATCATCATCAGGAGAATAATTTTTATTTAAAAGTAATTTAACTATGTCGATATTATTCTATAGAGAGAAAAATAATGAATTATAAAAAATTAATCTTCAGAATTAAAGACGAAAGAAATCAGATAAATTTCATGATGAATCAAGAGAAAGGAAAAAAAGAACGTGGTTTTTCGTATTTGTAGGACGTAGAATCCAATTCAATAGATTTATCATTTCAATTGAATCTGTATCGTTATCGCTTGTCTATTTGGTTTTTTTTTGAATAAGCTTTAAGAGGAAAAGAACTGTTGCTTGCAAAGAGTCTTTTGCACAAAAATTTTGGATAACAGAATTCAAACTAAAGCAAAAACTTCCAGTTTTACTGAATAGGTAAGTTGAAAATTATCATTAAGTGTTTAACTTTAAATAATAACAATTCAAAAGCTATTGTCAGATGTAGAAATGTTTCTAAAATATGCGGATGAAAGCATGAATCATTCAAAAATCAACTAAAATACTTAGTCGAAAAGTAACTTTAATAGACGCGATACTTAATCAAAACCTATCAGGTACTTATTGTCGTTATGAAATATTCTTCTCTCCGCTAATATTCGTTTTTTTTTTTCGTCAACAAGTCCAATGTCATTTCTAACAATGACTTACACTCTATGCTCATATAGAATTGTTTATTCCTAGACTGTAAGAATTATCTATGGAAATTCTGTTTTCAATTTTTCTGAAGAAACTTTTGATTTTTCATTTACCTGAATAACAGCATACATAAGTGGTGTTTGCTTATTTTCATCTGGAAAATTGACATCAGCATTAAGTTCAAGTAAAAATTTAACTAATTGAAAATTATTATGAACAACTGCATGAATTAATGGTGATGTTCGGATTTTATTAGATTTAATTGGTGGATAAGATATGTTTTTAATTGATGAATCAATATAACCAAATGATAATGGATTTATAGCTATTTCATTATCATAATTGCATAAACAATCTAATTGTTTTCCTGATGTAATTAATAAACGAAGTTTTTCATTTGAAAATGATGTTTTATATGGTAATGACCAAAATAATAAACTATTAGCTGTATTACCAAATGAATCAGTTTGATTTAAATTAAACATTCTAGGATATTTTTCACGTAGAAAATCAATAAAAATAAAATTCTGTTTAACACATGCATAATGTAATGGATAAGAACCATATTCATCTGATGTATTCCAATTAAAATTATATTCATAAAGAAATAAAAGAATTTGTTTTAATAAAGTTTCATCATATTCATTTATATTAGCAATTAAATGAAAGAGATTTTGTTTATGGGAATTTGTCTCTTGGATACTAAATTCATCTTTTAAACGTAATAAAAGACGATGAACAAGATTAAGTTTATTATTTAATATAGCTGCTTCGATTATTTGTATATAATTTAAATGAAAACGATCAATTTCATTAAGAATTAATGATAATGCACCTTGCCAATCACGTTCAATTATTAAATATATTAATGAATATTGATTAAATTCTTGAGAATTTTTTATTTCACTATATTTCCATTTCCAAATATCATTTTTTAATGATTTATCTTTTTTTGTAACTGATGTTTGCATTTTTTTAGTAACTAATGGTTGTCGTTGTTTCGTTGGTCGAGGAAATAAACTTTGTTGAGTTGTAGAAGTTGTTTCAGTAGTTTCTGATGCTGAATTTTCAATAGGTAGATTATGTAATTTTACAAGATCAATATCAATAGATTGCTGAAGAAATGTAATAAATAAATATAAATGACCTGATGCAATACAAGTACCAATTATTGAATTAGATAAATTGTTTTCAATTAATAAACTAACATTATGTTGTTGTAAAAGCATTACACATACTGTGGAACATTTTGCCTACGAAAGAAAAAAGAATACATAATATGAATGTTCTGCTTGATTTGTATATGAAAACTTACCACAGCTAAATGTAAAGGTGTATCTCCATCATTATTTATTGTATCCAAGAATTTATATTTCATTGCTTTCATAATTAAAACACATAATTCTACAGGATCATCACCAACTTTCTTATTTAAAAACACATTATGTAATGGTATATTTCCTAAATTATCTTGAAGCATGAAATCACTTCCATTTTCAATTAATACTTTTTCAACATCTGTTATAGCATCAATAGTACCTAAATTATGATAAATAGCAATATGTAATGGTGTACGTTGATATTTTCCAGAAATATTTAAAGCATTAACTGTTGTTAATTTAAGTTTTTTAATAAATATATTTAATATATCTAAATATTCACTTGAACGATTTGATGTTTGTAAATAATAATGTATTGCTTGATTATTTTCATCATCACATGATGTTATGTTACATTGCTTATGTTCTAATAAATTACGAATTACAGATAGTAATTGTAATTTACATGCTAAAATTAATGGTGTGTTTTGAT